TAAGCAGTGTTCATTACTGCAAAGATTGCTTTCATATTCAAACCATTATTATTATTACTAAAATTATTATAGACTACCACGTCTGAAATAGCAAGAAAACTACATTTTATTTAAAATACACATTCCCTTACCTTTAGTTGGTATGTTTTCGGTAGCCAATTTAGCTTCCCGTGGAGAAATCTTGATATCTTGAATAATATCTGACAGGGCACTCACAGATGAAGAATTGGACCCTCTTCTTTTGCCATCCTTAGATGCCGCAGACACTGAAACATTATCAGCTTGTTTCTGATCAACAAATTGTTTTCCAGGTTCAGGTTTGATCAATGTCAAGTTCAGATCATGACCTTCCACACTTCTCCCTCTACCTTGGTCAACAGATGAGGGCTTGTGTGGCTGTTTATCAAGACTGTCAGAGATGGATTCTCTGGTGTCCTTTTGTCCTACTGGTATAACTCTTTGTGTTTCAGAGACTACCTTTGGTTGTGGGGTCTGTTCTGGTGTAGATGCTTGCAGTTTTTCATCACCAGTTGAAGACGTAGCAGAAGCAATCTGAGATACAAACAGAGCCTGTGTCTTGACAGGTTCTGTGAGTTCACTACTTTCACCTTGGCTGTGAATCCTGGATATGTGCTCTGAAATTGAATTTACTCCAGTTAGTATGAATCTGAGAGCCACAAGCCCATGATTTCCAGTGCTTATCTGTGGTTCCTGCATTGTGCACTGAGTAACTTTATTGGGATGCTAGTCTATCATCACATAACCTCTAACATTTTAAAGTGTTTCAATGACCACTCCAGCGCCTGGATGGTAACAGGCACAGCAAGAAACAGGTGTCTGCCTGAGAACACAACACTGCAACCTTCATGTAATCATGGCATGCATCCCACTGAACCTTTCCATCTGGCTTCGGTTGTTCGAAGGATGGATAACACTATACACTGGATGAATCTCTATCCGGTGGATAGCGCTGTAAGTTTTGTTAACACTCATCCGCTGGATAGCGATTTATCCATTGGATAGCGTTATCCACTCTTTGAACAACCCAGCCCTGGAGTTTAGCATGCTAACTGAATCTTTCACTTGTGGTTTTCATGTTAACTCGTTATTACCCTGTGTTCAGTCGACTGTACGAGAAAAACCTGAGCACAAGGTCTTGGGTATGACCATAACAAAACACTCAAGACCAAAAGTACAGTTTTCTCTCATGGGACCAACCCAAACCTTTCAGTCACTTTTTCTTCAGCTGGTTTGCTTTTTTGTGAATGGCACTGTTAGACTTTCAGGTCTGACAAGTGTTGCATAATTATGAAGAGTAAAGACCCTGTCCACCTGAGATGCTCTGGAAAAAAATAAATAACAGTTTTTGTAAACATTCAAAATGAAAGCAAGGATCTTCACCAACCTTTTTTGCTTCCATCCTCTTGGGATTCTGTTTTGGAAGCAGCATTGACTAAATCCTTTTCAGTACTTTTTTTATTGCCTTTGCCTTTACTTTCTTTCTTTTCACCATGGTGAGTTTTATCTTGAGAAGGAAAAAAAATTAAAAAGGAAAGCAATTCATTTGGTAACTAATGGTTTCTGGATTGGCTGTTCCAATTTGCCATGTCAGGGCACAATTGCTAATCCTTTGTATTTACAATTATATGGTTAAATGTAAATGTAACATGAAAAGACTTTCTACTTTTTTTCTGAAGTTCTTTTTGGTAAGTGTCCTTCTTATTTCTTTTTGGTTGGAACTGACTACAAAACAAAATCTAAACAGCACAAATTCACCAACTGAAGGCAGAGAACAGGTTACCCTGCTTGTTTCATAAATTCTTCATCTGTTTACTTTCCGGTATTTCCAACAGATTTAAAAAGCTTCTATCTTTAGAGGTGTGAATCTTGCTTAAAATGACAGGATGGAAACCATGCATGCTCCAAGTACCTCATATTGTCCCTCACAAATTTCCAAGGATCTGGGAGGGCCAATGGGAGGTACTTACAGTACACACGATTTCTGTTCTGTCATGTTTTACAGTGAGTATCGTTAAAGCCCACAGATATGCCACACCCACAGATAAGCTGCACCCCGAATTTAGCAGCTCAAATTTTGGAAAAAAAAGTTTTTTGATAGAAATCAAAAGAAATCCAAAGTCAAGTCTTGAGAAGTCTTCTTCATGCACAGTTCATCGAATGTAAACTCCTCATTACATTGCAACAGAAAATACTTCAAAGTGTTACCATAATTGTAACACTTTTATATAATGAACATCGTTTCTACTGACTTGGTCTTTTTCTGGCATTTGTTGACAGGAATTTCTTCATTTAACACAGTTTTTCCATAGATTTTTGCATTACAAGAAGAATGTGGGCATAACATTCAAAGCTTAGTAGCCAGGCATTATATCAGATGCAAAAGTGGACATTCATGACACCTTTTTCAAACATTGCCACAGAGAAGCCACACCCCTCATTTCTAGCGACAATTTTTGGACAAAAAGTGTGGCTTATCTGTGGGCTTTTACAGGGCTGTGGTTTAGCGGCACGTGGTGGTCCCTGGCGCCTTACTTTTGCTCTTGGGCGACTCAGAAATCTTACTTTTTTCATAAAAAAGCATATGCTGGGCACCCTGGATTTCACAGTTTCAGAGCACTGGGCTCCCTTCAATTTTCCTTAGAGCACAGCCTTGTTTTACGGTAATATGTATATAATCCTTGGCCTTCTTTGCAATGCTCTTTTCTCTTCCTCTTTCCCATCCCTGCCCTTCTCCACCTCACATCACCCATTCTACTTTCTCACCTTCACCCCTTTTATCATCAGGTGACTTAGCATCTGCCCTACTGCTGTCTCTCTTCTCTGATGATGCAGCATCTTGCTCTGCATGGTCACTTGGTTCAGAAGTAGAACTAGTGAAATCTTCACTGGCACCTGATATGAGAGTAAAAAAAAAAAAACAAAACATTTTCAGATATATATAGGCCAATATAATTTTCATTTGAAGGTGTAGTCTGATCGTCCGGTTGAGTGTAGTCCTGATAAGGACTGTTGTCGGTGGTAGTGACTGACGTTTCGACAACCTGTGCAGAAGTCATCATCAGAGTCAAGTAAGTGTCAATTTTCATTTTACATTTCAAGGCACTCACTTTTCATTCTGAATGTGATAATCCAAGAAGTAAACAGGTATTTTAATCAAAAGCATGCTTTTCAAATAAAAGAGTAATAAAAAGTTACCCAGAGTGTCTTCCTCTCCCAGTGCAGTGACTGAATCACTTATTAATAACAAACAATCCAGACATTTCTCAAGTTCCTGACTCACAGAAGAGTAGTTGTGAAAAAACTTCTTACGATCTTTCTCTTGAAGGAGATCTTTAGCTGGATTTGAGGCCTGGATTAGAAGGCAAGAGTAAAAGGATAGTTCCAGGTTTTAAACCATGTGCAGAATTGATGAAAACATAAGGATTTAATTTAATAACATGCATATCATCAACAAAAATAACTCTAACAATAAATAATCAATTCCAAGGTTGAGAAAGGCAGTTATCTTTTTGAAGGTAGCAAAGAGGGTTCCTGCTCCAGTTTCATGCACAAATTTTAGTAAAATCCATGTCTCACAAATACTTTACACACCATTTCAAGTGTCACAAATTTAAAAGGGAGAACTTCAAATCTCTCTAACTGTGTGCAAGCTTTCAGGGAAATCCTGAGGTTTTCACAAAATAACAGAGAAAATTTAATGGTTAAGTAAATTACAGGAGGTGAAGTCGAGCCTTTTAATGGTATTTAAATTTATGAGTCATGCTTGCCTTTCTGTAAATTCTAGCTTCACAAAATATTTTTGGCCTTAATCATGTGTCATGTACAGCTGTTTGCAAAATGGTGTTGAAAAAAGTTCAAATCTGCATCCCTCAGCCCACACTCCCACAAGAGCAGATACAAAGCAACCTAAAAAAAAAATCTCTAAACCTTTGGCTGCTCTCCTTTCTGGAAGTATTTACTGCTTGTGGCTCTAATCATCAAACTACAATCCGTGTCAAAATTACTTGACACAGCATGTTTGAAGAGTTTTATTTATGTGAAGAACAACCACAGTTTCTACCACACTTAAAATCATTCACAGATCCCCCTTCCCCATTCAAAGTTGGCTTTTAATAATTCATGGAATCGTGATAAAACATTGTTTCAAAGCAAGGGGGGCAAATATGTTTTAAAGAGGGCAAAAAGAGATGAAATTGAAGTAAAAGGGGGTTGAAAAAAACAACCGAGTTTCCAGATGGGATTTGAACCCACAACCCTCCGTGATCTAGTCGGATGCTCTAACCACTGAGCTACAGGAGACTCTATGGTGAGCAAGGGTCAATTAGTGGGTATTGACTGGAACCGCAT